GACCAAGAGGAACAACCTTGAGAGCCAATAAATCAGCATTGTGATGAGTGACTATTAATCCGGACAGATCTGTCATTATCTCAACCCTTTGGGCCCCACGTTGGGCGCCAAAAAAGGAACTGTCGTGGTTTAAACCCTAGCCAGACAGCTTGTTCACTCACTCCCAGTGAGTGGTGCCAGGCTGGAAGCAATCGAGGCACCCCCACCAAGGGCTCTCCCCTTCCCTGCTCCCGGACAGATGGGGAGGAGAATCAAAAGAGTGCAAATCCCACAGGTTGAGACAAGAACAGTCCAGCAAACAATGTGCAACACAAATCACCACCGCTACCACCAACGACAACAATACTAAGAGAAAATAACAAGGGAAGAGAATACGATACCACCCACCGAAAAACGAGTCCGACCCAGAAGACCCCGCGTCCTTCCAGGTAACTCCCAGTTACCCCCCCAGGCATGACATGCTGTGGTAGGGAATACCTCTTTGCCTAGCTTGGGTCAAGCGTCCTGTCTCTGCTTCCTCCTGGCTTCCCCTCCTCCCTGGCAGACCATGAGCCTCACAAAGTCCTTGGTCAGGGTAAACATTACTTAGCAACAACTAAAAACAGTGTTATCAGCGTTGTTTCCAGGCTGAAAGTCAAAATACACAGCGCTGCACCAGCTACCAAGAAGGTGAAAAAATCACTGCTACTGCTAAACCCAGGACAGAGTTTTAACCTATTACCCCTTGTCTTATCGCTACAGTCCCTAATGAAGAGTCCCTCCTCAGCACCCCTTTAGGCCCCCTTCAGATACTGGAAGGCTGCTATGAGGTCTCCATGCAGCCTTATCTTCCCCAGGCTGAACAGCCTCAACTTTCTCAGACTATCTTCATACGGGAGGTGCTGCAGTCCCCTGATCATCCTCGTGGCCTGCCTCTGGAATAGTTCCAACAGTTCCATGTCCTTTTTATGTTGAGAACACCAGAACTGTACACAGTACTCCAAGTGAGGTGTTGCGAGAGCAGAGTAGAGGGGCAGGATCACCTCCTTCAACCTGATGGTCATGCTCCTTTTGATGCAGCCCAGGATACGGTTGGCTTTCTGGGCTGCAAGCACACACACTGGAGCCAGCTCATGTGAAGTTTCTCATCAACCAACACCTCCAAGTCCTTTTCCGCAGGGTTGCTCTGAATTTTTTCTCTGCCCAACCTGTAGCTCTGCCTGGTATTGCTCCAACCCAGGTGCAGGACCTTGCACTTGGCATGGTTAAACTTTATGAGGCTGGCATCAACCCACCTCACAAGCATGTCAAGGTCAGTCTGTATGGCATTCCTTCCCTCCAATGTACCAACCGAACCACACAGCTTGGTGTCACCAGTAAACTTGCTGAGGAAGTACTCAATCTCATTGTCCATGTCACTGACAAAGTTGCTGAACAAGACTGTTCCCAACACCAATCCCTGAGGGACACCACTCATTACTAGTTTCAGTAACACATGCATTTGCAGCATCTTCTTCTTGGTTTTAACGTAACAATGAAGAAAACATAATCTTGGCAGATAGATAGAAACCAAACCTGAAACATGTAACATTCAGCATTACACAGCATATTATATGCCATCCAATCCTGACCAACATTTCTTCATGGTATATAATAGTATTTGAAGAAGGACTAAGTCTTTCCAGCCCTCCCTGTTTTAACAGTTGTCAAAGTCATCACCAAAAGTATATGCTTGCCACAATACAATGAATGCCACTTTCTTGGTGAGCAACAATAAAGAAAATAAACTGAACATCTGAGCCTTCAGAGGCAAAAACTTCTGTGAACTTCAACACCTAAAGATTATTTTGGTTTTGCCTTCAAGCACTTGCTCTCCCAGCAAAGACATTAATTTAAAGTTTCTATGCCAAGTATACTAATACAGACCAACAAAGCAGTATTTAATCAAGGTGCTAGTGGGATACTAACAATAAGAATAAAACTCATCACTAGCAACTAGCTGCCTGCTTAAGTAGTGTTAACATGCAATTCAGGCTGGGGGATAATGAGAAGGTGGGGGAAGGGGGGAAAGGAGGGAAGGAAGAAAGGAAGGAGGGAGGGAGGGAGCCAGCTATTTGGACATTTTCTTGGCTTTTTATTACTACTCCTAACTTTATGTTTACCACAGGTTTGTGGGTTTTTTCCCCTTTTACATCACTTGTAAGTAAAACATTTCAGCATATAGCTCTTTACAAAGATAACAGCAAGATCAAAGACACTTCCCCCCACCACCATCGGTCCTCTGGCATCTGTTAAACGAGCAAGTGTAAGCCTTTGATTTCTTCAACACTCTGCAAGTTACAGCCAGGCCAATGGCATTCTGCTAGGTTTAATTCAAACAGAATCTCTAATATCCTCAGAACTTTATTTAACAAAATCACTGGACGCAATAAATTTGCTGGGTTCCATGTTTTCCTGAAGACCAAAAGAAAACATAATGTGTACAATTTTGTCTCAACATGACATCTTAAAGATGCCAACACAAAATGCTGGTCTTGGAGAAAAAGGAACAGCTTGATCAAAAGAGACCACATCACAGACCATTACTCTACACAACTAGAAATGCATGTGGTAAACTTCCTCAGAGAAAACTGTTCCACAAAATTGAAGCTCAGATCCCAGGCATCACATGCCAAGAAATGAAATGTTCCACCAATGTTCACTTTTACTTCACTTAGAAAAACCCTCTACCACTTAGCTTTCTTCCTAAAGGTGTCCTCTCTGAAAATGCATTGTTTTGACTGCCATCAGACTGCGAGGCCAAGCTTTAGCATGCCTTCACCCAACAGTGTTCAAATTAATTATTTTTCATATCTTCAGTACAGCTGACTACCCAAAAACTTGGCTAGTTGCTGTGTCTGCCTCCCACAGTCTCTGCAATAACCTTCTACTCGCAGTGTTCAGCTTTCTACCTTCTGCATTCCTGGTCTTGATTTTCAATTTAAGACTACTTTCAGCATGATTTACATTGTACTATAAAGCTCACGCTCAGATCAACCTCAGTAAACATGAACAACTTGGGTTCAAACATTCAGGAAGTCATAAAATTTGGTATGCAGGAATCTTTTCAAGGCTCTCAAAACTACGTTACAGTAAGATATTATGAAATCTTTTCAAACAGCTCATAAAAAAACTCGTTTTCTGGTTTGCTGTTGATGGGGTCATATTAGTGTCATCAGTAAATCCATGTATTTGGTTTTTATTTTCTGTCTTACATGAACAGGTAAATCTCATTTAATCATCAGCAATGAGGAATCTGGAAAATCATACGGCTTTCCAACAAACTTAAAGACCTTGTTGTTTCTATAATCCACCCACCATCCCTTCTGAAAACCTTGTTCTAGCTCAAGTATTTTATTGGTTTCAAATAACCTGCAGAAACCATGAAAAGGCAAGTGAGCCAGGGCACATTAACATGTACAGCAAATATATCTAATAAAACCACACTACATTGTTTTAGTTTCAACTGAGAACAAAGGAGATGAAGCCAGCTGCTCTAAGTACATAACCAGAGAGGGGAACAAATTGTCCACACCTCCTCTCTGGGAAATGATATTTTGGACACACTGTAAGATTATTTTTTTTTTTTTTTTTTAAAGAAAAAGAAAAGAAAAAAGGGAAAGGGGGAAAACAAAAGCACAGGGATTCAAAGACCTAACATTCATCTAGGAATATTTTGCCACTCATTATATTTCTATTGATTCTGGGTTTAATGTGACAGGCTTTTAGCATTCTCTCACTCATAAGAGCATAGAATCTATTTACAGCTCTACTAAGATTGTATCAATACTATGCTCTTTATAAGCTGCTCAGCGATGTTAATGCTAGAAGGGATTTTTTTTCCAAATACACATTTATTGTGTAATAAATGCATAAACAGTGCTTCAAGCCACATGTCAAACATAAGCATTTTTTGTACAGTGCCACACAACAGAAAAATAAGTCATCCTTACACCTCTAACTATAGAAATGTTCAAAAACAGGAAGGGAGTCCCCTTCTTGGTGTAGACCAGGACTAAATATCATTCAATAGAAACTGCTGGGGGATGAGTAGAAGAAAAGGAATTCTGCTCAAAGAACTACAGCATAAAAGAAAGATAATAAAGACAGAAGCACTGAAGACCAGGTGCTTCTAACAAGTTGGAAATGTTGCTATTACAAGTATTTTTCAGTTAGTGTAATTTCTTCAATTGCTCAACCGATAGATTTTTACTACAGGCAAACACAACTATGATAGGAAATAGGCTGGGTTAGGGACCTAATTACAAAATCTAGTCTATAAACTACTGTTGCTGCCTAACATGTATAAAATACTTTCAATGAGTCCCAAAACTCACTATGCCTTCCTCTGCCCACACCACCAGATTTTTTGTTTTGCTCAAGATCTCACAACTACACACTGCATTACAAAGTTGCTAACATTTGAAAACTTCCCTTACACAATTGCCAAACCCTAGAAGAAGTGTCACAGCAGGAGATGTTTTATATTACACTTGGAGTAAGCCATTAATTGACACCTATTAATCAGCATATATCAGTATTTCAGTAACTTACAATCATTTTCCCATATTTAAACTTTCTTAACATTTTTCAGTAATTTCCACAATGTTGTTATATTTTTCTGGTTTGCCTGACTTGGTATTTTTCACACTTCATTGATAGGCTTTGAGCAACCTGGTCTAGTGGAAGGTGTCCCTGTCCACGGCAGGAAGCTGGAACAAGATAATCTTTAAGGTCCCTTGAAATCCAAATAATTCTATGTTTCTGTGATTAGAAACTATCATTTGTTGTTTCTTTATAGTTTTAAATAAGTCAATCCCCCTCCACCCACAAAGCGTATTTTAAAAGCATCAGTGAGTACAAAATCTCATTACAGTATCTTTAAGCTGGAGAAAAAAAAAAGAAAAAGGACTTGTTATGGTAAATCTTAATTCTGAAAACACTTTTGGCTAGGTGTGCTAATGTCATTTTAGACTACTCACTTCCCACATGAGCCTGCAGTCTGTGCTCTCATCCAGCTCCTCAGGCATTCGCTTCTCCCCTGCAAAGGGGCCAAATTTTTCACCCTAAAGGCAAAATTATAAAAGAAAAGAATTAGTGGAAAAAATAATCGAATAAAGGCAAGTAAATTACCAAACTCCAGCAGAGGATCACTTTCAGCTTCAAATGGCAAAGGACAGTTCTCCTTTGTCATCCAACTACATGCCACAAGGGTGTGCACCCTTCAGGATTCAACTTCAAGCTCATTCCCACTCTTCTCGTAGCTTGGAGAATCTGTTAAAACCATACCTTTCCTGTACATGCTTATTTCCCCTTTGGGAAACAGCATTTTCTTAATTTTAAACAAGGCTGAAATTCACGCGTGAAATTTCTGACATTTCTCACAAAATTTTCAAGTACCTTGCAATAGACAGCCAACTAAGGCATGAAGTATTTGGCAAGCACAAAGTTTACATTAGATTTATTTGCAAGATTATTTGCAATACTACTTTTTCAAGTGCCACATATCAAAACACTGAATAACTGAGAGTTTGATCATACAGAGAGATTCATTTAAAAACAAAAGGAGTATGCACATGTCTATGAATTAATTCAAGCTTTCATAAATAAAATTAAAATGTTATACCACCTGCTACTCATAACACATGCTGTGGAAGCATCCATTGATATGTTCTTCCATCACAGATGTCACACTACCAGAAGGGTAAATTATTTAAATAGGACTTTCTTCTAATACAGGCCTAGCTCCTCCCCATTCCCCCAACCTTGTCCTTATTTACAGTGACAACCCCTACAAACTGGAATGCACAATGTTCCTTTAAGCAGTACTCAAGTCTAAAAGCTCTATATACTTCTAAGCATTACAGATTATAAATATATAATGAAAATCAACTTTGGTGTTTCTTTAAAAATAATGCTATTATGGCCAATAAAAGTATTGATCTTCTCCACTCATCCCTTCCCCCAGGCACGTTCCATGATCCCAGTAACAGCCTGCTACATGTTTTGTATCTTGCTTAGTTTTTACAGATTGCGTACAGGTAGAACGGAGAGAAAGAACAATGCATCATTCCTCTGAGAAACCAACCAACCAAAAAAACCTAAAAAAAAAACACCAAAAAAAAAATTGTATTTAAAATTGAACCTGAAAGTCAATAAACAAAGGAAAAGCAAATTGGCATTGCAGGACAAGGTAACAGAGTTGAGGGCCAATATTTACAAATGTGCAAAAAGAAGATTTCATTAGAAAGAACAACAAAGCAGAAAGTAAAAAGACAACAACTGGAGCCCTTCTGGAGACACAGAAAGGGGCAGTGACATCAAAAACTGGCACTATGGGTCTTCACCTCTCACTTATCTCCATATCACCTTTCATTGTTTTGCTAAACAAATGAGGTCAGAGTTCCCCCCCTGCCAGTCATTTCCCAGTTCCATTTCTACCTGCCTGGGATTTAATACTCAAACTGAAATTTTCTTCTTAATCATAGAATGGTTTGGGTTGGAAATGACCTTAAGATCACCTAGTACCAACCCCTCTGCCATAGGCAGGGATGCCTCACACTCCATCATGTTGCCCAAAGCTCTGTCCAACCTGGCCTTGAACACTGCCAAGGATGGAGCATTTACCACTTATTTGGGCACTCTGTTCCAGTGCCTCACCACCCTTACAGTAAAGAACGTCCTCCTTGCATAACCTGAACTTCCCCTGTTTACATTTACACCCATTACCCCTTGACCTATCACTACAGTCCCTGATGAAGAGTCCCTCAATCTTATCAGTAATGAAGGTGAAAACAGGTCAATACACTTGCATGTGTACAGCCATAAACATTCTCAGCTGAAGCCGAGTGACACCCCAGTAAACATACTAATATGTGCCAGGCAAGTGTCACATGAAAGGCAATTTGCTTAAATTGCATTGTTTTCTCAGATTAAGAAGGAGGAAGAGCCAAGGTGATATCAGAGGAAAACTTCTCTGGAAACAGTAAGGTCCTGTCTAGCTCAGTAAAGATAAGGTAGGCCCTTTCTGGAGCAGAAGCCTCCTGCCAAGCTGAGCTGGCTTCCCCCATTCACTCAGAAAGTAACAGGCTTGGTGCAACAGGGAAAGCAGCTCACGACAACTGCTGAGGTCTAAAAGGGCATAATTTTATCTGCAGAATCTTTCATTACTCATAGCAATTATCAAGATGGAAAGAACCCTATTGGACTATAATCTATAGTCCAATCTATAATCTAGATTAGTTCTATAGAAAGAAAAAAAAAGAAAAACAGTAACATAAGTTTACTCTGGAAATTATTTAAAGACATAATAAATAAGAAACCTAAAAAAAACTAGTCTCCCACATTCACTTCAGCAGCAGAATAACACTTTTTAAGACAACCTGAAAAGATTAATTACTTCTTTAAGAATTTTGGACGTTTCCACAACCCTCACCTCAGAAATACCTTCATACTTACAATCCAAAAGATCCCTAGGTACCTTGTAAAGCATTTGCAGTGTTAATTTTACCCATCACCAAAGCATGCATCACCTCTGGGATGAAGCACAGCAATAGCTTAATACTGCATACTGACTCAAAACAAGGAACACCATACAGCATTCCTATCTCAGCTACTCCAGACACATAAACCTCTACTGTAGTATGTTTAAGACCTTCTAGAAGCTTAAAACAATAGGAAAAGCAAAAGGCAAGATGTCCAGCTCTAAATGTAAAATATATGTAACATAAACAATAGCTGATTCGGAAGCTTTCTAGCTTCTCAAAATTGGAAAGAATTTAGAGACAGCAAAACTTCATGTCTTGGATCATGAAGGTCCATGGAGATAAGTGTAATTATTCATGTACCCTTTCAGAGCATTTTCTTCATATATATATGTATTAGTCCTAGTTAATAAACATGCAGTCATATGTCATATATTAATCAAAACCATACTAAGACTTCAAATTCCTCCCTGATGAATAAAAGTGAGACATATAATAGAGTCTAAACTCAACCACATTAATTATTCAAGACATGAAGGCACATCATTCAAACGTTAAAAAAGCTATTTTCAACAGTTGCTTTCAAGAAAGGAGCAGTGATAAATCTTCTTCCGGTCTTAGCAATGAGAAATGTAGTGGTTCTCTGATGATTATACCAAGGTCCTTATAATACTGATGCTGTAACCAAAGGAGAGCTACTGAAGAAAAAAAGTTACAAGAGAATCACAGCTTGGGTAAAAGTAACGAAACAAAAAGTTTCCACATTTTATGATTACAGATGAAAACTTCAAAGCACAGCGTAATACCTAAAGGCACAAAAGCAGGCAGCAGACAACAGCCATTCAAAATGTATTATCACCAAAATTTTGCTAATAGGAGAATTTTCAGAGGCCTAATTCATGATTATTTAGCACTTGGAGAGTTGGCACTGCAATTTCTGATTATAAAATAATTTGAAATGTGTTTTACTTTCAGTCTTCATATTCAACACCTCCTCCCAATCCCAAAGCTTCAAAGAACTGATTTACCTGCTATTAGCTACTTCATCACAGCCATGAAGTCTAGTACTGCTGCCTCATTACCAGAGAAGAAAATATGTTGAGAGCACTTCAGATGTGATTTTTCTTTTTGTGGAAAAGAGTAACAGGCTGGCTATATCCAACATGTCATCCATGTCACTTACACATCCACCCTTTCCTGAACAGCTGTGGCAACACACAGTGCTTCAGTCTCCAATCATTTTAGGAATACCTGTTCCAACCACTGCCCACACAGCAACTCAAGAGCTGGTTCCTCAGGCTATCAAAGACTAATGTCCGCCTGTCAGACACAGACTTCTGATCAGGGATTTTCATACCACAATCCTGGGTGCTACCAGCAGGGGATTAATTGTCAAATAAAGGACAAGCCTGTAACAGACACTCCCAATACAAACCGATCTCTTACTACAACTGCCTCTGCCTTTACTTTCTGCATTCCACATGCTATACGTGTCACACAGCACCATTTCATGTTTCCAGGATGTCCTGTATGATGTGCTCACACTGGCAGAGCTCTGATAGCATATACTTTGCCAGTGTAACAGTTCAAAAGCAAGGTGGAGTAATTCAGGTAGGAAATGGTCCAACTGTCAACAGTGTAAAGGAAGGGGGCTCAGGCCCTGAACCGAAATTCAGAACCATATGTAGATAATCATTTCCTTGAGCTTCAGTCTACAGCTCACTCTATTTCAGAGTTCAAGGATTAAGAAGTGCTAGTAGCATAGAGACTTCCCTGCTGTGTGAAGTCCCAGTTTTCAAAGGAAAGATCAGAACCTCTGGGGGAAAAAAAAATAAATTATGCCCACCGATATAAAATTTTTCACTTCCACCCCCTGTTAATACTGAGGGGCACCTTAAAAATGAGAGACCCTCTACCGATGGTGTCTAAGCTTTGTTGATGAAATCAGTGGAAAATTAGGCAGCCCTCCCACCCCACTCAGAGCCAAAACCAGGACTAAGATGAAAAGCAAAACACAGAAAATACATATAAGTGTATACTAATAAGGGTTCATAACTTTTATGCCTTTATCTGTGCTAACAAGCCACCTGGGCAGTTATAATTGGGATTTCAGGTCATCAAGAGATTTTCTATTCGATTATGCCAAGGGACAATACCTGGTTAGGGTATGAGAGTAGTGCACCACAACTGGACGGTATTTTTCACAGGCCCGGCTTTATTATCTCGAAACGACGGACTCAAAACACTGCTCCCGCCGAGCCCTCAGGTGAGAAATGCGGCGGGAGCCTGCGGCCGAAGGGGGCCGCAGAGGGGCGCCGCGGCCTGAAGGCGATCGGTGATTGGGGAGCCAGCCCTACCCTCACCCCAGCGCCAGAAACACCAACGGAGTTTAAACAAAATGGGTGGCACAGACACCCACAGAGAAAACCTTCCGCCGACTGCACAGGGTAGGACCCCGCCGCCCTTCCCCCCCCCCGGGCGGCAGCTCCCCAGGACGAACCCTTTGGGGGGAATAGGGAGATCAGGCACTGCCTCCCCCCGAGGGGAGAGCGCCCACAAAGTGGCTCTGAGGTAACGTTAGATCGCGGCAGCCCGGCCGGCGGCGGCAAGTAGGGGAGGAGTCGCCCCACTCTCCTGTGATACGTGGCATCCGCTCCCCGCCTGCTCGGGCCGGCCCAGGCCGCTACCCCGGTTGCCCGACCATCACCCACCTTCTTAACTCTGCGGGCCGCGTAGAGCCCCATCCCGTCCTGCACTTTTGATGATTTCAGGGCAAACCTATCCGGCACGTACATGCCCAGCATTTTGCGCCGAACAGAGCCGCCGCCTGCTACCGGGAAGAAGGATCACCGGGGACTTCCATCCCACCGGGAGAGCGAGCGCATCCGCCGGGCCAGGGGAGGGCGTAGGAAGAGGGGCTGGCTGCGGGGCTTCCCTGGCTCTTCAGGCCGAGGGGAGGAGCAAAGCCGCCCGCGAGGGGGAACAGGGCGGGGCATCAGCAGGGGGCGCGCGCGCACGGCGGGGCAGAGATCGCGCGCGGGGCGGTTAGGTAGAGGTGCGTCAGTGTCGGGACTAAAAATACGAGGCCCTCGGGCTTCCAACGCTCCCACGGCTGAGGCCTGGCCTCAGCATGGGTCACGGCACCCGCGGCCTCCTCATGTGTGCTCAGGCATAAGCAGTGTGCTCTGCAGAGGCATGAAAGCCTGCTTCTCACCTGCAGGCTGGTTTGTCCAGAGCAAATGGCTGTTCATCATACAGTCGTGGCCTTATGGTCCAGCACCGGCAAGCTCATCCCTCAGGTTGCTGCAGTCGTGTAACCCAGACGCAGCTGGGAGTGCAGAAAGGTGGGCAGGCATCATGGAGTCTCGGGTCCAAAAGGTGGAGCTAATTGTGAAGGCCAGCAGAGGCAGACAATCTGTGCCCTGTCACAAAAACCCAGAGGTTTTTGTGTGTTTAAGAACTGGGACCTCTCACATACATGCTTAAATAGTCGCTGCTGGCACGCACAGATATGAGTGCTAGAGAGAAACAATACCCACACTTCAATCCGCAGTTACGTAGTCACACTTTCCACAAACACAGTATTGTCTCAAAACAGCACCCATTTATCCTCATTATTTTTGTATTGCAGGAATGGGCAAATCCAGATTTAGATTCACTTTTGAAAACACATAATCCTTCACTTTTGGAGACTTTTTGGTGGAAAAAAGAGGGAATGATGGAAATCTAGCACTTCTAAAGGAACCCCAAACATTCGGTCTAATTGTGTTTGTCTGAAGATTAACGTATGTTTTCACTGTATACCTAGCAGGGGCATTGTATTCCAACTAATACTGCACACAATCTAGTTTGAACAGGGAGAAAGAAGTTACATTTTAGCAGGTTGATGACAGCACACGACTACTCTTTTTCATAAAACTGCAATATCCAACATTGAACTTTTTCTAGAAGACTGAGAAAGCTGGAGTTGTTCAGCCTAGATAGGAAGAGGCTCCAGAAGACCTTAGAGCAGCTTCCAGTGCCTAAAAGGGTCCTACAAGAAATATGGAGAGGTGCTTTTGACAAGAGCACGTAGTGATAGGACAAGGCTTTAAGCTGAGAGAGAGGAGATTTAGATCAGTCTCCTTTTGTAGCATAATAGGTGTTATGACATTAAACATATTTACAACTGTCTGGCCACTTGTACCAGCGTTTTTTTTTTATTTAAATTAATCAGCCATCGACCATAACACCTTATAAATGGGTTTCATATGCTGTTGGTGTCAGCATTTGTCCTTTCTGGTTTATACAAAGGTCAGTGGGGGGAATAAAGTCAGCCTTGTTGAGCTGAGAACTGCTACTTGGGTAGATATGTATGTTAACAGTTCTGTTGTGTTTTGTCCTAGCTGCAGTGGCAAGGAGGGTGAGGTCCAAATGAAGCAAATCAGACAGAACAGAGATGAAAGATGACACAGGATGCTGAATGTACACTGATTATTAGACAGTGGTAAGACCGGAGCCTGGTAAGTTTCAACATAACTATTTTGTGTTTGGTACATACACAGCTTAGGTGCGTATAGCCTCCCTTAGTTCTCTGTCATGAACAGAACTGATTGCAGACCATACCTATGCCAGCACTGCCTTCAGCTGAAGACACAGCATACACAAGTGAAAAGTATGTTCTTGCTGGCATAGCTCTAAAGTGTCCAATTGAACTACTGCATACAAACTTCTGTTGCAATTGCTGCAGATACACTGGGGTTTGCTGGCATAGCAGCTGAAAAATCTCTCCCCTCCTCAAAGAGCAAACATTGAGCTGTAACTCATTTGCAGTCTAGCACAGGGAAACTGAATGTGCTCAGCACTGTTTCTGTTTTGCTCCATAGTTGCTTGTTTAGAACTACATGGAACCGTAAGGAGAAATACAAGGGCATCCAGCAGCCTTCAGGTTTGAAGCCTAATGGTGTCTAACTATTTACATAACTTCCTTGGAGAGAGGAAGAGGTATTTTCAGAACAAAGCTCTTACGTAGTTATGGAAGCTGCTGTGCCCAAATAAAATTCATGGCAGGAATCCACGTGTGGTGACAAACAAAATAATTACAAGAGTTACTTGTCTGAAGTTACAATACTAGTTGCAACACTACACCAGAAGCAGGGTATGATATTCCCTCCACCAGAGAACCAGTTAACTGAGGGTTGTACTTGAGTTACATGTCACATTCTAAGGGAAGAAAGATTTAACACAAAAATGGTCTTGAAGATGCTGAAAGTAATCATGCCAGCCACTGAAGTATCCAGCAGCTTAGAAGGAAAATATGTTCTCCAGAAGAAAGGATGCCCTTTCATAGCTAACCCCTTGTTTAAGATGGTGTAATATCATCCTTAAAAGTTTTCAGGGACTTAACATTTCTTTCCTCACTCCTCCTGCCCCTCAGGCAGCTGGACTGAAATCAGAGAGGCAAATGGTTTTTTTATCTGAGAATTCCTTGCATCCCTAAGTATTAGAATATTAGCTTTTGCAGTATCCATATTAATATCAGAATTTGATTCTGGCACCCGACAGATCTCAGAAAGGGTGTTCACAGTAATGGCTCTCCCAGTTTGTACATTCACTGGTCCACGGAACATTTCTGCAATGCAAATTAATAAGGTTTGCTGCTACTGTTTCGAGAACTTCCCTCCTGGATCTATGTATCTCATTCAGAACCGTATCTACTTCCTCTTAACCTGGTAAGATCAGGAGCAGTACCTGAAAAACAATCTTTGGTTTATCTGGATTGTACCCCATTTGCAGGACATATCCGGACCTGGTATCTGGACCAGGATGGAAAAGGGCTTTGCACTTTCATTTTGCACTGAAGTTTTCAGGAAGCAAAGGCTTCAGCTTGACTAATGATAGAATCCAATGAGAAGATGGGAAGAGGAATACCATGCAGATCTCTCAGGGTTTTTTGATCTTTTGCTATACAGAATTCAGCCTAAAGTTATCTTTCTTTTTCTACTCCATTCCCCAAAGAAACCAACTGATAGATATGGGGAAAAAAAAAATCTTTCCTTCTTTAAAGCAGCTATGGTATACAATGCTGACAAGCTGAATACAAAACCATATTGCTTTAGTCCCCACAACATGCCAGTGCATACAGACAGGAGTCTTTCATTGTTTCTGAAGATAAATCCAAGTGCAATACTCTTAAATTAAATATTTAGAAACAAGCAGCAAATGAAGTAACATAGCTAGTAACAGCTGTGTATGCCTTTAGAATCTACCCTGCTTTGTGACCAATTCTACTCTTGCTACTAGTAATTACCAGCACAGTGACTCTAAGTACCCGGAACAAATTGTGTTGACATGGAGCCAACTTAAACCATGTGTTATACTACTAACTAAAAACTCTATCTCTTATATGTAAGACAATCTACTTTACAAACCAAATAAGTCTAGCTTTTGTAAATACAACAATAAGCCCCATCTACTCTATGTCTTAGGGCTAAGGTGTTTGTTTTTTTTTTTATTTCCACTTCTAACCATGTTTGTTTTGTCTGTATTTTCTGGTCATCTGAAAAACTTATGTTATTCTATCCCTAACACGCTTTGATTTTCTGAGGAAAATTCCTTTCAGAGTTATTTTTTAAGGACTGCTTTCTTGTTTTGTGGCTGCTTGTTTTTTCTACACTGATTCTTTCAGATCATTTTGAATTCAGTAAACACTTGAACCTAAAGAATTATTTCCTCACCAAATCCCTCTTCTAATCAATGCACAGTTGGCCTTTTGGTTTTCTCTGTAAACCAATACAGACGTCTTGTGTTGTGATTCTCAAGGTCACACAAAGCAGTGAACGGTAAGATTAGTTTTTAACTTGTCTCTTTCCTTGCTTACATGTACAGAGTTGTTACTGTCAAAGTTTCTTTCTCAAATATTTGAAGTCCTGGAAGTTAGCTGCCAGATTTCAGAATTAAGATTTTTCTCCTTCCCCTTTGAAAATATAAAAAATACATACACGTGTTTGCATTTCCATTCCCAAGCTGACTGCATATGAAGTGTTTACTCTTGAGTTTTTTAAACTGGAGTTTATAAATAAAAATCTTAAGACAAAATGTTAAGTGAATAGCAGATTAAGCTAGTAATGCAGGTTTCACAGTAATGTATTAAGGAACAACCACTTAATCCACATCATGCTATATGGACCTAAAAGAAGCCCAATACAACTTGACTGTAGTAGATTTTTGCTGCTGTCTCACACGACAACTACACATAAGCAATATACGTCTAAAGAGCTAGCAGAAAATGGTTAAACATACTTAGTACCAGTAACTTGCTGGTAGAGTTGTAGGCTCTACCCAGAGCCCCTGTAGTGTTTACATTTTTATCTTGACAAATTCAAGGTGTGATCTGATAAACCAGGTTGCTGTTCAGTAGTGGAAATATCTCATAGCTACAAAACATAAGCAAAAGGCATAGAGCATACAATTGCTCAGGTAGCACCTCTTTAGAAAAATAGCAGCAACTCTAGCAACAGTGGGTCTTGAGCTGAATTTGAGCCAAAGTTGTTATGCTGGTGTGAAAAATAGATATATATTTTATATATTTTTTATATATTATGTATAAAATATATGCAATCATTTTATGCATTTATATATATTATATATATATTATATATATACATTTACTCGTACACCCCAGCGTGAAAGACTGCAAGATAAAAACAACTTTCAGTATTGGTTCAGCCTCAGCACACAAATATATTTGCTTGTTTTAAAACATCTAGTGTAAGCCATCTCCATTTTCTTCAGTTACAGAACTGACAGAATAACTTTGTGCAGTGGCAAATGAACTCCCAGGCCACATCCTTACACATTGTAAAAGTGTCTTCCTTAGCTCAGTGATAAATCTCAGCTCAGGAGTGCCTTTCTCAACTAATCTCGCCTTGCTTTTCCTATTAGTCCTTTCACGATCAGGTCGTGTCCCCCCCCGCCTCCCTCCCCTTTGTTAATGGAAAGGGACTTTCCAGATCAGCTTCTC